AGCGGGGAGCAGAACAGGCTGATCAATGAAGTACACTGCTGAGGGGAGCAGCGGGCGGGTCAGGAGAGGTCTGCCGCACCATGTGGTCACCTCTGGAGCAGGCGGGAATCGAACTCATGCGGAAGTGGCCTTAGCTTCTTAGTGTGGTGCTTTAACTGGCTGCACCACCAGGGAGGGCCTATTTATTTATTTTTTCAAGATTATTTATTCACAAGAGAACTGGGTGTGGCTCAGAAGTGCGGAGGTTGGGAGTGAGAGGATTCAACAGAGACAAGAGTGGGGAGCAGAACAGGGGGATCTACAGAGAGACGCTGCTGAGGGGAGCAGCAGGGAGACAGGAGAGGCTCCCTGGACATGTGGCTGTACCCACGGCCATATACCTGCCAGCCCCTAGCCAGGCACTGAACTCAGGCCATAGAGGTGAGCGCTGAGACCTTACCCAGAGGGCCTCGGGGTGGCCCGGGTGGACTAGTCTTACTGATGTAAATATATAGCAGAAAAGAGCGCCTCGGAGGCCCAGGGGGGTTCTTGGGGAAAAAGGGACCCCGGGCTGACCTAGAGCAGAGAGAAGGCTGCAGGTAGCATATACCAATCAAAGGGGCCCTCCCTGGTGGTCAGGGGTTAAAGTCTCAGGCTGTTGAGCCATCTGCAGCCACTGCAGCACGAGTTCAGTCCCCAGCCAGGGAGGGACCCACAGGGTGCATCAGACCCCTCCTGTCTCCTCGCTGCTCCCCTCAGCAGTGTACTGTGTCGATCTGCCTGTTCTGCTCCCCACTCTGTCTCTGGTGAATCCTCTCACCTACCCCCCACCCCACACCTCTGCCTACACCCTAGTTCCTGAATGCATAAATAAATAAAAAGCTTAAAAGAGGGGGAGAGGGGAAAGAAGTATGGCAAGAGGTTAACAAGTTCGAATGGGGCTATTTTCTGACTCCAGCCTCTAATTTCATCATGGAGCCTACACAGTAGCCTCTGCTAAGAGCCACTCGTCACACTCGCCACAGGAGAGTAAATTGCACCTGCTTGTCCTGTCGGCAGCAGGTGAATGCATAAATCTCTGCCCACGGACGCGCAGACTCAGCGTCATGCTGGTGAAACAGTCCGTGTCAAATATAGTCTGCGCGGCCGGTCCTGAGCCCCTTCTTATGTAACCGACCCACTTAGAACCAGCCCTCAGCTAGCTCAGATGAGCAGGAACATGAGCCCTGTTCTTGTTTATTCCTCTTCTGTGTGATAACACCGTGCTCTGCATGTCGCAAGGGTGTTAGATGCGAAATGCCTCAAACGAAAAGTTACTAGTGACAAGGAAAACAGTTTGCAGAATGCCAGCGTCAAAAAAAAAAAGGGGGAGACAAATTTTATGTGCTTATTTGTTTCTGTATACAAGAATTGGGGTACAGGGAAGAGGTGTGGGGGGTGAGAGGAGTCACCAGAGTGGGAAGCAAACAGGTGCATCTACTGAAATGCATTCACTGCTGAGGGGGGCAGTGGGGAGACAGGAGAGGTCTGCTGCGCCCTGTGGTCAGCTCCTGGCTGGGGATTGAACTCGTGCCGCAGTGGCTGCGGACAGCTTCACAGTGCTGACACTTACTCCCGGGGAGATCCCCAGACAAACTTGGTATCTATATGCTTGGTAGAAATGAAAAAAGGAATAAAGAAAAAGGTGGGAAAAGGCCAGGCCCAGGGAGTAGCTGCTCTTCCGATGACCCTGCAGAGACCCGAACCCTTGGTCCTGAGTCTTCAGAGAACTAAGTTCCTTCTGTCCATGTGGTGCAAATGCCCAAGCTTCTGAGCAACACACCGCTGGCTGCACCCAGTTCCTGAGTCAGGTGTTACCCTGCTAGTGTGCCCTGAGGGGCACCAAGAGACCCCACACTCCTGCGGGGTGCATGCCCTAAAGGGGTCCTGCCATCATTGCACAAAGGCAAAGGAAGCAACTCTTAGAGTGAGAGATGTTCAGGTGAGTGTGGCAAGAGGGGGTGGGGGGAGAGAAGTGAAATAAAAGATTCCCGATAAAACTCTGGAATTTCTTTCACAGGTTACAGTTGAAGATTTTGAAATGGTTTGCAAGGGTCTATACCGGGCATTGTGTATTCGAGAGAAATATATGCAGAAATCTTTTCAGAGGTTCCCCAAAACCCCTTCCAAGTATTTGCGGAACATTGAGGGTGAGGCTTGGGTAGCAAATGAGAACTTCTATCCAGGTAATGAATTTTCTTATGTAATGTGTGGAATATATCTTTGGGTTTAATCATTGAATTATGCATGTATGTATGCATGCGTGCATGTATATTTGAATATATGTGTATGTATGTATGTGTATTTAAATTTTATTTATTTATACATACAAGAACTGGGGTACAGGTCAGAGGTGAAGGGGAGGTGAGAGGAGTCACCGGAGACAGAGTGGGGAGCAGAACAGGCAGGTCTACTGAAAAACACTGTTGAGGGGAGCAGCGGGGAGACAGGAGAGGTCTGCTGTGCCAGGCGGATCAGCTCCCTAGCCGGGGATTGAACTTGTGCTGCAGTGGCTTCATAGTGCTGAGACTTTAATCCCTGCGCCACCAGGGAGGGCCCAAACTATGCTTTTTAACAGTAGGTTTACTTTTATTTCTACACAATTATCTCATAAACTAATGAAATGTTCTCTCCAGGAAGGCTTTGATCACCAGCTTTAGTAAATAATTAAAATTGTTGGCAAATGGTATACCAGTTATGTGTGCAGTATTTCTGAAGAACTTGAGAATCATTTTTCACAAGATAAAATGAAAATACTTGTATTATGCTATTGACTTGGTCATCTTTGAAAAGCAATATAAAAAAAGGTTTTGCTTAGCTTATGAAGTATAAGCTATTACAGTATTTCATACTTGGAACAGTTTTGTGTGTCAATCAGCCTCTGTGTTGATAACGACTCTGTTTTCCTGCAAGCCTTTACCCCGCCAGTGAAGAAGGGAGAAAACCCCTTCCGAACAGATGACCTTCCTGAAAACCTGGGTTATCATCTGCAAATGAAGGATGGTGTGGTTTATATCTACCCTAGTGAAGCAGCAGCCGGCAAAGATGAACCGAAGCCTCTCCCTTACCCAAATCTGGACACCTTCTTGGATGATATGAACTTTTTACTTGCTTTAATTGCCCAAGGACCTGTGTAAGTGTCTAACAAGACCCACTACTGATCGCGACAATAAGTATTTTTTAAAAAATTAATTTATTTATTTATGCATACAAAAGCTGTTGTATAGGACAGAGGTGGAGGGATAGGAGGATTCACCAGAGACAGAGAGGGGAGCAGAACAGGTGGATCTACTGAAATTCACCTCTACGGGGAGCAGCAGGGAGACAGGAGAGGCCTGCTGTGCCCTGTGGGTCACTCCTTGGCCGGGGATTGAATTTAGGGCGTGTTGGTGGGCCTTCATGGTGCTGGCGCTGAAACTTAACCCCTCAGCTAGCATGAATGCTCCACTTTATTGCTTTTTAATACTCAGTTTTAGCCACCCGAATGGTGCAAGAGTTAAAGTCTTAGTTCTCTGAAGTTCGATCCCTGGCCAGGGAGCTGACCCACAGGGCTCAGCAGACCTCTCCTGTCTCCCCGCTGCTCCCCTCAGCACTGTGTTTCAGTAGATCCACCTGTTCTGCTCTCCACTCTGTCTCTGGTTCATGTCCTTCCTCCCTCCACCTCTGGCCTGCACCCCAGCTCTTGTATGTCTAAATAAATAAAAATTAATCTTTAACATACCATCCCAAATCTTCCCTTATTGTGATGTCCAAATTGGATGAAAAGATTAAGTTGTTGAAACCCCACAATTTTCAAGTGAGATTAACAGTTTGTTTCAATAATAGTTTTGGAAAAGGCTCATGATGGTTTTGAAGTTTGTGATTGTTTTCCTTATATGTCTGGAGTTTTCCTAGAATTGTCCTTTAATTTTCCACAGTAAGACCTATACCCACCGGCGCCTGAAGTTCCTCTCCTCCAAGTTCCAGGTTCACGAGATGCTCAACGAAATGGACGAATTAAAGGAGCTGAAGAACAACCCCCACCGAGACTTTTATAACTGCAGAAAGGTAGGCCTGGTTTTTAGAGAGCTAACTGACTTTGTTAGTATGCAGACTCAGGTGCACCTCAGGACCCCCACTTTAAAGGGGTTCTGCCATCAGTCATCTAAAGACAAAGCATGTCTTTATTTATTACTATTTAAAAAAAATTTTAAGACATATTTTATTTATTTATGTGCAAGAACTGAGTGTGGAGGCCAGAGGTGGGGGTGAGGGGAAAGTGAGAGGATTCACCAGACACAGAGTGGGGAGCAGAACAGGCCGATGTACTGAAATCCACTGTTGAGGGGAGCAGCAGGGAGACAGGAGAGGTCTGCTGCACCATGTGGGTCACTCCCTGACGGGATTAAACGCTCGTTGCAGTGACTGTGGATGGCTTCAAAATGCTGAATCAAAGTGCTGAAACTTAACCCCTTTTGCCACGAGGGAGGTCCTAAAGCATCGTCTTCAGTGTGAAAGAGCTTCAGTAGGATTAGTGTGCCCAGAGAAAAGGGAGAAACGCTTAATAATTTTCCAATCAAACTACCAAAGTTACCTCGTGAGTAAATACCCAGCCAAACAGGGCTGGCCCAAAGCAGGGCCACTGAGACCCAGAACCCTGCCACAAAGCCCAGATACCCGCTGGTGGGGACCCATAGGAAAGAGGCACAAGGGGCCTGGCAAAGTCCAAAGCAAGGTAACAGCTACCAGCGGCACCTTCCCGCTGAGAGGGACTTGGACCCAGGCTCAGGGAGCCTGACACAACAGAGGCCGAACTTGTCCTCGGGCAGTAGAGGCCTTGGCGATCTGGAGGAGCAGCTGCAGGATCAGCCCGGCGAAGATGCAAAGTCTGGGAGGTTGTCCCTGTTCAGGAGTGGGGGTGTGGATGCCGCATCCTGGGCAGAGGAAAGAAAGGGGAAGGTTAACCCGCCCGCTGCGTAGAGGTCAGTCCTGGCTCAAGTCAGAGCCCGATTACTTTGTCAGGACAAGAAAGACAGTGTTTTCCTGATTAAGATTTCACAGTTCAGTAGGTTTAGTAAAAGCAGACAGACTATGTCTAAAATGCCAGTTGTACAGTTTCCACTTTCTGGGCATAAGAAAAATTATCAGGAGCAACAAAAGTAACCAAAACAAAACCTTATTCTTGGCTATAGATGATCTTTATTCTAATTCTTCTTCTACTTTCTGATGATTCAACCCAGAGGAAAGTGATCTGATGTTTCTGATTTTCAGTTTTTGTATTCATAAAATTAGGAACTAATAAATGTGCTTAACCCAGTTGACGAGAGGACTGTAAGTGCCTTTGGGAGAATTAGTTAATCAGAACCTCAACTTACAAAATAGTAATTATGAAAATATCTAATTCATCAAGGCCACCACTGCATGATGGCCATCCTTTTCCTTTTAGGGCTGAAAAGCTGTGGTAGCTACTTTCCTTCATTTGTGTCTCAGGGGTGCAGAATAGTCCCCAAGGATTTTGCGTGAGACCCCTGCAGGAAGCAAATGGGATGTACAGGTAGACATGAGAGACAGACGTCATGGGAGTATCCAGCTAACTGCCACATCCTTACAGGGACACATGGAGGTTGAACAGGGTCTCTCTCTCTCTCTCTCTCTCTCTCTTTTTTTAAGATTTATTTATGCATACAGAAATGGGGTGCAGGCCAGAGGTACAGAGGGGTGAGAGGCTTCACCAGAGACAGAGTGGGAAGCAGAGCAGGTGGATTGACAAATACACTGCTGAGGGGAGCAGCGGGCGGGTCAGGAGAGGTCTGCGGTGCCATGTGGTCACCTCCGGGGCGGGGATAGACCTCATGCTGCAGTGGCTTTAGCTTCTCGGTGCTGCGCTTTAACCCACCGCACCCCCAGGGAGGACCCTGTACAGGGTGTAATGCTCACTCACCTCTGCTCGCTGTTGGGTCACGCTGACCGTCAGCCCTTGCTCCCGCCACAAGGGGCAGGCAGGGGCCCCCACGAGGGCTGACTGCTGGGTGTTCTCTGAGTGTGCACACAGGTGGACACCCACATCCATGCCGCCGCTTGCATGAACCAGAAACACCTGCTGCGCTTTATTAAGAAATCATACCAAGTTGATGCCGACAGAGTGGTCTACAGCACGAAGGACAAAAACCTGACCCTGAAGGAACTTTTTGCCAAATTAAAAATGCACCCATACGACCTGACTGTGGATTCCCTGGATGTTCACGCTGTGAGTTGAAGCGACACTGCCGAGTTCACCCCACCAGAACCCCGCCTGCGATTCTCTTACAGACCTGTCCTTCCCGGGACCCTCCTGGCGGTGCTGACTCACTGCGCTGATCGAGAACGTCCATGGGCAGTTCTGAGGGTCACTCACTGCCAGCTGCCTCCTCCCCACTCTCGGAGCCCAGCGCCTCCTGGCTGGTGTTGGGGCCATCCCTGGTCACGACTCATCTGTGTTGATTTTTGCTTCAGGGACGCCAGACCTTCCAGCGTTTTGATAAATTCAATGACAAATACAATCCTGTGGGAGCCAGCGAGCTGCGGGACCTGTACCTGAAGACAGACAACTACATTAATGGGGAGTACTTTGCCACCATTATCAAGGTCAGGCAGAAGCAATTACACTTATGATGGCTGGCGGGGTCCTGGAGGAGGGGAAGAAGAGAGGAAGGGGAAGAGGGGAGGGGAGAGGTGGAGGGAGATGGGTCCCCGAGCCCAAGCACTACCCAAGTGAAAGTAACAATTCTTCTGAAATGTCCATTGTAATGTTTCGTTTCGTTTTTAAAGATTTACTTACTTATGCCTACAGAACTGGGGTACAGGCCAGAAGTGCAGGGGCAGTGAGAGGATTCACCCGACACAGAGTGGGGAGCACAACAGGCCGACTGATGGGAAAGGACACTGCTGAGGGGAGCAGCAGGGAGACAGGAGCGGTCTATTGTGCCCTGTGGGTCACCCCTGGCGGGGCCAGAACTCAGGCTGCAGGGGCTGGCAAGAATTTGATAGTGCTGAGACTTCAGCCAGGGAGGTCTGGTTCCCTGATCCTTTAGACCTCAACTTTGGGCTTTTCCTCCGACTTCTTTCTGGCTCCCTCCATCCTCCTTAGTACCCATCTCCTTTCCCTAGACCGTGCAGGTTTAGACGCCTAAGGGGCATAGGGCCATGGCTGGCTTCGGACTGTCCGCTTGGCTTTGCAGGAGGTAGGTGCGGACCTGGAGGAGGCCAAGTACCAGCACGCGGAGCCCCGTCTGTCCATCTACGGCCGGAGCCCCGACGAGTGGAGCAAGCTGTCCGCCTGGTTCGTCAGCAACCGCATCCACTGCCCCAACATGACGTGGATGATCCAAGTGCCGAGGATCTAGTAGGTTCGCCCGTCGCAGCCCTAACACCTGCCCTCCCCTCCTGGGAAGGAGAAGGCACAGAGCAGGCAGTCAGAAACGGCGCCCAGCCAGGCCCTGTCATGCTCTGCTCAGCCCTCTTGACCACAGAGAGGAGCTGAGAAGGGCATTTCCGTTCAGTGTTCCAGCCAGAAAGTATTTGGTTTTGTGTTTTGAAAACACAGGACTTTTATGAAGAGCCACCAAAATGCCAGTCGAGATGGGTGAAAACCAAGTTCGGATAAGCACTATTTACTTTTATCATTAGTATTATAGTTTATTTTTATTTCATTTTGCGTCTTTGTCCGTCTCAGCTGTAACCCCGTGGACATCCCACCACCAATTCACCTGTGTGCCTTTACCATAGCCCCGCGCACTCCCTCCAGCACTATTTATTTTTACCATTCTGTTAGCGTTTCCTTTCTCCTGGTCTTGTTCTCCTCTGTCCATTTTCGCGTGTGCTTGTCTGTGCCAGGATGTAGCTCTTTATCTCAGCACCTCCACCGTCCGCCTGTTGTCTCATGTACAAACAGGCTCGTTCTTCATAATCAATGAATATTTATCAATGATAATCACACTTGTTAAGGCACACCCTTGGGGATGTTCAGTATCACTGATTTTTTTTAAATTAATTTATTTATGCATGTAAGAACTGGGGTACAGGCCAGAGGTGCAGGGGGTGAGAGGATTCACCAGAGACAGAGCGGGGTGCAGAACAGGCAGATCGAGGAAGCACACTGCTGAGGGGAGCAGCGGGCGGGTCAGGAGGGGTCTGCCGCGCCATGTGGTCACCTCCGGGGCAGGCGGGGATCAAACTCATGCAGAAGTGGCTTTAGCTTCTCAGTGCAGTGCAATAACCCACTGCGCCAACAGGGAGGGCCCGGTTTAGATTTCTTCTCCGAGGCTTTGGAGGCGGAATGGTGACAGGTCTAGCCAGAACTGATACTCCGGTGCCCAGCACAAACCAAATCCTCTCTGGGAAACCAAGAAGAATGTTCCAAGAGCAGCTGGATGGATGCCCTACGTCTTTTCTGAACGTGGCATTTGGGTCTCCGGCTCCATCAGTCCTAAAAATCTTTCCTCTTCAATGTCCTTCATTTTGTCTCTAGTGATGTGTTCCGAGCTAAGAATTTCCTTCCACACTTCGGACAGATGCTGGAGAATATTTTTATGCCCGTGTTTGAGGCTACCGTCAACCCCCAGGCTCACCCAGACCTCAGCGTCTTCCTCAAGCATGTAAGCTCGGCCGTGGGCCTCAAGCTGCTGCCCAGGGCCCAGCCCTCCCACTGGGCCCTGATTAAGTCTTGCTGCTGGCTCTGAGGTTGGGTCTTTGCCACTGGGAGCTGAAAGCTTTTCTGAGGATGGGGACCCCGCCGTCAGGCTGAACCCCTTGCCCACCCCACTTTTCTTGCAGATCACTGGCTTCGACAGTGTAGACGACGAGTCCAAACATAGTGGTCACATGTTCTCGTCCAAGAGCCCGAAGCCCCAGGAGTGGACCATGGAGAAAAACCCGTCTTACACGTACTATGCCTACTACATGTACACGAACATCACGGTGCTCAACAGTCTGAGGAAGTAAGTAGAGGAGCCTCAGAGGTGCAGGGAAAGACAGCTGGACACGTCTCCGCACCCCCGGCGCCCCGCGGGTCAGAGCCTGCCCTGTATGAAGTGCTCCCACTTAGCCTGAACGCCTCTTCCCTCCCCTTATTTACTTGGAAACGGGACCAGACATTTGGAGCCTTCAGTAGCGTTCACAGCTCCTTTCCTTCGGAAGTTTAGGGATTTGTACTAATCCTGCTGCAATTTATTATAAAATTCCACACATTTTACCCTTCTAGATACATCCAGGTAAAGAAAAAAAAAACAGAATTATTCTACTATCCTGGAGTTCTCTGGAAATATTTCCCCCTAAAGTGTAGTAGGAGAAACACTGACATGGTGACTCATGTCTATTTCTGTTTAAAACTGATGTTCTCTGTCCAGGTGATCCAGTCTTTACTTGCTGTGCCTTCTTGCCTTACTGCCACTTTTTTTTTTTTCAGATTTATTTATTTGTACAGAACTGGGGTACAAGCCAGAAGTGTAGGGGTGGTGAAAGGATTCACGAGAGGCAGAGTGGGGAGCAGAACAGGCAGATTGGTGAAGTACCCTGCTGAGGGGAGCAGCAGGCGGGTCTGCCACGCCATGTGGGTCACCTCCCTGGCCAGGGATCGAACTCGTTCTGAAGCTGCTGCGGCCAGCTTGCAGTGCTATGTCCTAACCCACTGCGCCACCACGGAGGGCCCCGCTGTCACTTTTTAAAAAGCACTTGTTGAGAGGAATTAAGATTCTGATTTGGCATTGCTAGGTAGGCCACATCCTTCAGATCCCCCACTCTCTTTCAGGGCGTTAACTTTTCTACCAGATTCTCTTGGCATTCACTGTGGGCCCAGTGTTGCTGGAGGGTGCTGGTCAGTCCCTTGTGATCCCTGCAGCACCCCGTTTCCTTAGGGAGCGCGGCATGAACACGTTCCTGTTCCGACCCCACTGTGGGGAAGCGGGGGCACTCACCCACCTCATGACAGCCTTCATGACGGCTGATAACATCTCTCATGGCCTCAATTTAAAAAAGGTGAGTGGGAGCCAATCTTTG